TTTGTCAAAACAATAGTTTAAACAACATATAAGGCTAAGTGGATCTAGATAAGGAAAAAAAAGAACGAATAGTATCAACATCATATAAAGTCTCAGGACTGAAAAGCTTTCAAAAGTCTATTAAGGAGCTGTTATAGGCAAGAAGAAGCAACTTCAAAAGCAAATCATATACGTACCTTTAAAGTTAAATGCATCAAAAACCTACTTCTAATTGTCAGATTATTAAATATTCAAGAACTATATTTATATAAGGATAATATATGTAAAAGATGTTTCAAAGAACTAGAGTCAAATAAACATATTATCTGGTACAATGAAGCACAAGAAGTACTTATAAGAATAAATAAGAAAGTCTGGAAAAAAGTACAAAGCAACAAAAAAAAGGAGGAAAGATGGGATCTTTAAAAAATAAAGCAAGCTATTCAAAAGACTTTCAAAGAAGAAAAATGAATACAAAATGCTGAATAGCTATGAGAGATCCTAAATAAAAGTGATGCATTAAAAGTAAAAGAGATAATAGGTACAGAAAAGTCAGCTTTAAGGTTTTGGTATATATTTTGAAATATATAGATTGAGCAGATTTATAAAGAAGTTTAGACTATATGATATAATGAGATGAATATTTGAGAGAATTGAGAAAGAATATCACAAAAAGAAAAAAAGGCTTGAAAAAAAGCAAGTATGGTAAAAAGGAAAACAAAAAGAAAACAAATTAGGATATGCGAAGTAGACAATACAGCTACAAACTCTGGTAATGTAAAAAGAACAGATGAGAATATAAGAGAAATTAGTTTAGAGTTTAAATTAGCGAAGGATAGTATATTAAAGAAAATTTTAGAAGGGTTTAAAAATGTATAGGTATAAGGTGCAAATATGATGAGCTGTGGTGTCCTTTCTTTGAAGTACTTTTAGGTATTTGTAAAATAAGACCAAAGATATAGAGGTTAAAGGTCACTATAGCAAATTGCACTTAGGTACTAAAGTAGTAACTGAGTGAGTTAATACTTAGAATTAATCATTAAATAGTAGAATATACTAAATAGAGTTTTTAGTCATAGACAAAAATTTGATTAAATAAAGTATTAGCATGATTGCTGAAAAAAAAAAAAAAAAAAAAAAAAAAAAAATATTATCAGCTAAACTTTTATTAGTTTTTATATTAGAAATATGATATATATTATGAGAGTACAACTAGTTACATATATAATTTTAGATTGACTAATTTAAGTAGTCCATCTGAAGGTTCTATACTAGCTGCTATATTTAAAATCTATTAGAAGATTACCTATTTAAATTCTCTGATACAATGTTATTTCCAAATTTATTATACTATTAAGTTAATTTTAACTCTATGCTACTTTATTCTAGAAGGCATTCAAGCTGATATTAGTTATAAACTTTACTATTATGAGCTCAGATTTTAACTAGATAAGTCCCATATTTATATCCTCTAATAGATATGTACTATAATATCTAACTATACTATGCTATATCTCAATCTAGCTTGCATATACTCTTATTTAATATTCATATAAACTCAGTTTCTGCTATGACTCTCTATTAGATTAGTCTTCTAGTTTTTCTAAATATTTTACAAGGTAAATTCTTCTAATCTAGTTAGCTACTAAGCCAAGTTGGTATAGTCATATAACCTTGTGTAATAGACTTACTTGTACCTACTCAATCTGCATTCTTTATAACTAGACTTTTTTGCTGAATTAAGTATTAACTAGTATAACTATTAAAATCTATACTACTTTATCTAACTCAGAATTTCTATTATGCAGATTTTTCTGCTTATAGATCCTATCTTGATTTATTCATATAATGTAACTCAAACATTCTATCATACCTTCAATATCTGATTAATATTAGTGTAATATAATTTACAAGGTTGTAATCTTCAAAAACAGATAGAGTTTACTATAAGTTAAATACAAGATTTGAGAAATTATTCAAATTGTTAATAGTGAGATTTGAACTTCAAATCTATTGCATAGTAGTCTGACAACTTATTCATTACACTAGATCACTAGACCTTAATACTTATAATATATTAGATACAATATAATCTAAAATAATCTAAATTAAAATAAGTAAATAAATTTACAATAAGCTAGTTAGCTTTAGCAATTAGATATTATAGTAATATTAGTTTATAACAATAAAAATTAGTTGAACAGAGTATTTAAAATAAGTAACTCACAAGTAGATTACAAATATAATAACTAATATAGAACTAATTAGATAATCTATTTATATAGTAAACTAATTAAAATAGATAATGACTAAAATTGTATATGTGACTTGTTATATACTCTTTATATAATCATAAATTGCAAGAAAAACTTATATATAATCTTATATATCAAACTAATAAAATTTACTTAACAATATAAACTATTTTAAAACAATAATAATAATAAACAATACTGATCTTTATATGAAAATAAACCAAAGTTAAAAAAAGTATAAATACTTAATCTAGCTCAAATGTTGTAATAAGTACTTACTTTAAATTTTCTTCTTTTATTACTTTAGAACAAATAACATATTTTTCTAAAAATTTTAATAGTTAATACTAATTTCTAGTCTAGACATGACTCGTACTATTTTCTCTATTAGTATTACTGTGTATTTTTTAAAATATTTGCTTTGTTAATGTTCTAAGTTTGCTTTATATATGGTTTAGATGATCATCGAAAAGAGTATGTTTTGATTTTTAAAATTTTTAGATAACTATATACTTGCTATAAGACTATATTTAAAAAAGATATACAGTTTTATAAAATATGATACTAGAAGTCTATACTCAACAGTTACACAAAATATTTCAATTTTTTAAATGGCTACTTTTTATCTAAAAGGTTTTAAAAAAATCTGACCGGTAACTTTGTAGAGTTGATATAGCTCTATAAAGTTACCGGTCAGATTTTTTTAAAACCTCTTAGATAAAAAGTTATAGCTATTTAAAAAATTGAAACACTTCGTGTAACTGTTGAGTATAAACTTTTAGCACCATAATTAAAAATCAAAATATCTAATATAAAAAAAAACTTAAAAACTATTTAAATTAAACAATATTTTAAATAAAATAATACAACTTTTTTTATAAATATATAATTGCTACTAAATTTATTAATACATAATTTGAAGCAAACTATATAATTATTTTAAAATATATACAGTAAATAATTTAGAAATAAAACTTAATTTAATTACAAATTTAAAAGTTAGCGTGTTTAAAGTAAGTCTGAAAATATTTTAATAACAGTTGAAAAATACATATTATTTATACGTTTAACTGTTCTGTAATATTATAAAGATGATAGCATAAAGGTTTTCTGAATTTCTAAAATAAAAATTTTTGTCTGGAGCTGTATTAGCAGTAAGGGTTAGATGAAACTTTATTGTTTTAGGGGTATCATTACTAATGAAAATTATTGAGAAATACTCCCTGAGATCGAACATGTTTGATGCGTGCAGAAAGACAACGATTCCAAGCATACTGGCACTGTAGCAAAAGAATTCTTTGAAAAACGTAAGGTCGAAGTAATGAATTGGCTGTCATATAGTCACGGATATTAATCCAATTGAAAATATTTGGATTGTTAGTAAATAACATAGAGGAATGAATGCAAAAAATCTTAAAAAGAATTAGGGCAATTCATGGGAGGCAATTCCCGATTATGTTTGAATTAACCTAAATAAATCAATGAAACGAAGAGTGAGCTTGTAATCGAATGTAAAGGGGAGCACATCCCCTATTAAATTTTATATTAATAAAATTAGGTGGTTTTAAGTTTTAAAACAAACTATTTCATAAATAATTTAATGCGATGGATATCTAACTACATTTTAAAAAAGCGAAAGACATTTTTCTTAACCCATTGTATAATATGTTATATATAAAGGATACTCTTAAATCGTGTAACAAAATCTTAATAATATTATTAATAAAAAAAATTGAAAATTCAATTTGCAAAAATATCGATCAATATTGTAAAATTTAGTATAAGGCCCATAACCCTGACTCGAATCTGGCATCGATGTAATATTTAAAATTTTTCTGTAGATTATAACGTAAAAGTCAAAAAAAATAAACGTACTCCTGAACGTTTGTGGACATATTCAATTGGGTCGAGCAACAAAAAAAAAAAATTAAGGTTTTTAGATACATAGTACGTAAGAACTTTAAAACAAATTAAAAACAAGTCCAAATTTTATTAATTTTAAATAAAATATGATAATAAAAAAAAACCCCCATTGTTAACTATGGTGTAATACTGTAATTTATATTTTTAAACATAGCAGAAAAATTAACCATAGTATTTTTTTTTGGTACATATTGTAATTCTTTGACATTGTAATTTGCATAATATAATTTCAGGAATAATTTATTTAGAAATAAAAATAAGATGTTATAAAAAAAACTTTAAAATATTAGTTAATTAGTTAAACATACACATAAATGAATACTCTAACGCTAAATAACAAGCAATTAAGACTTATTCTTGGGAAACATATAGCAACAGGTACGTATGTGCGTACAAATTCTGTTGGTTTTCACCAACTCCACGTGAAATAAAATAATACGAATTCAAAATTGATTCTTTATTCGATCGTAAAAAAAATTTCTGCGTTATTACGTATTCGTTAATATAGTACATACTTCTAATTTATGTGTTAACGATACGAAGATGCGTGCTTGTACGGCGACTATCAGTGATAAATTTACCATAAACAGAAAACTCTGAATATATTTAGAAATTTAATTATAGAATTTTTAATAAGATTTGTCATCGATATTATAAAATATATTATCAGGCAATTCAAAGACTAGCCTCCATGTCTTTACATGATATTCTAAAAACTGATGACGCATTATTAAAGGTCGTAAATACATACTTAAGGCCAAAAAAAAGACTTTCACGAATTTTCATCGCGTTTTGTCGATTGAGCATTTTTTTTAATTTCTATACATTTCTTATATGAACAAAATGACACAAATTAAAAAACAGCAAAATAAACGAGCCCAAAAAAAGATCAAACATTTTCCACATCATGAACAAAAGATCCATCTCGACATCCGAAAAAAGCATACTTTACTACCTCCTTTACCATTTCCCCCAACAATTCAAATAGAAGACTTGGTAGCAAAACTTACATCAAAGACTTCTAAACCGAAGCTAGCAAGATTTCCAAATGCTTTTATCATATATAGGAGTGAATATGTTCAATTTTTGAAAGAGAAAGGTCTTAATTTTCCAATGACTATGTTATCCGCTATGACTTCATCAGCCTGGAAGCAAGAACCTTCATGCGTAAAAGATGTCTATACCTTAATTTCGAATGAAGCAGAAAAGTTGTACAAACAATCCCTTGAAGTGGCTCGAATGACAAACCAAGGAAATTTCTCGAACCAATGCAAATTCCATAACTTACCTACATATTACTCCGAACAATATTGCTACAACGATCACGAACTTTACACCAATGGGTATTATATTCCGTTTCCTGAATTTGATGCAATTTATTTAAAATCCCAAGGCGAGGAAGAATTAATAAAACATGAACAATTCGATAATGATGGTTGCCTCTTTTTACAATACAATTCGTCAATAAACAGTAGCTTCGAAACTTTCATTCCTCCTAGGCTTGAAGGGTTATCACATGACACGATACCTATGGAAAAAACGTCTTTCTCAGACAATAAAAATGATGACCTTTTTGATATTACTACAGACATTTTTTGTGAAATCGATTCTGCTTTATCTTACAGGCAAAACTCAAATTTTTGATGTCTAATTTCAGATTTTCACGTGAAAAATATTTTCTTCTTTTTTTTTTTTTTAGAAAATTTCTTTTATCGTTTACCTTACGTTTTCTCCTTAACGTACTTAACTGTTAATGTATATAATGCACATAATAATTTTGACAAAATCGAATATGCTTATTTTTTATTTTAAAAGTTTTTTATTTAAATGTAGTGAAACAGATTTAATTAATATTCTAAATAAAGAACCTATGATACATGATATGAATCAATTCTGTGCTTTAGCAACAATGAAAACCTTGATCAAACTACGGGATCTGTTTTGCTATAGAATAAAAAAAAGAATAAAAAAGTATCTTTTGAACACTCTTACGTATCGGATACATAAAAAATTATGCCATTTTTAGCGAATTGTTACGTACAATATCACCTTAGATATATATATATATCGATATTACATACGTAGAAGTTGACTGTACGTATTATTTGCTAATAAAAAAAAAAGCAAAATTTTTAATTCTCTTATGTAAGCATTCTTATATGGCATGTCCTTATAAATTTTTTTATCCAAACCCAACATATTTATAATCATTGTTTTATATTAGGTTATGTGATTAACCTCTTTTCTTATTTATTTTGTATATATTTTTCTCTTATCAAGGAAACATCCTGTAGGGGAACATTATGTACGTAGGAAACTGTCCTGTCAAAATAATCGTAACTATGTCCGTATATCGCTATAAATAATACTTCACCGTCATTTGTTAACAATGGTAAGATTAACATACAGATCGTTCATTATCATTTACATAAAGAGCATCTTCCCTTCAAGTATTGCACAAGCATATGTAAACGGCACAACATTCGTGAGGATTACATAAATGCTACAAAGTTATGAAAGTATACAATTGCAATTGTCGTCAGGTCACTCGTGATTATCGTCCTGACAGACCACTCGAATCAAATGTAGGGTGTGCTC